ACGCGCCGCGCAAGACGGCGCAACACCCAGACACAACCAGAGAGAGGGAGAGAGACGGGGAGGGAGGGGGGCGTGGGCGTACGAGCTGCACGACCTGCTGGCGAGTACGGGAAAGTCGCTCGGGCCCCGGGGCGGGGAGCCATCGTCCTACGCGAGGCCGTTAGGGACGGTGGCCGCGACGCCGGAAGACGGGGAGAACGGTTCCTGGAACGGCGACGACGGCCCTGCAGCAGAAGCGTTGGCTGCGCGGGTGATGGCGCTGACCGTACACACGGAGAGGTCGAAGCTTGGGGCCAAGGGTGACAGACAAGGTGCCCGGGAACAAGGGGGCGCCGTGGGTGGCGGGATTACTGCTGCGCCGGCAGCGTCCCCGTGGCCGCTAGGGGTGGAGGGGGGAGATCCGGCACAGGACGGTTCTCGGAGTGTTCCCGCGGTCAGGAGCGAGGCAGAGGGAGGCGCTGGTTGGCAAGGGCAGCAGCAGGAGGGGGAGGAGAGTGCAGACGCAGAGGAAGAGATGGTGTTCGACACGCTTATGGTGAGGGTGTACTGACGGCGTGAACGATCTATTGTACCCTCTACGTGCCCATGACTGCAGAAAGTTACAGAAATTTGACGTAGCATTGCGGAAGTGACTGCGTGTGTGCTATTGACGTAAATGTCGTACTCGGGGAAAGGGATACCATACCTCATTTCGATGGGAGGGATTCATAAAGAGTGTTCCATTACCGAGGTACAAGGAGGAAGAGCAAGGGGTTGTAGGACAAAACAATGGAGAGTATCGGGCATGATGTTACTTGAACGTGTTGCGCCTTTGTTCTTACGGCAACAAGCGAGTCCAGGGTAGGATAATAAACATTTCGCACATGTTTTATTTTATTTTCATTTGTTGTCTCTCAACGGTGCTTGCGTTTTTCATCTGGAAGGTCATGTCAGAGGCGATGAAGGAGGAAGGCAAGGCCAAGTTTCAGCGTGGGGACTACATGGGTGCCGCGAAGGTGAGACGGAATCAAAAGTTTTCGTGCGTGCCCCGTGTTGTATCGTTAGCGTACCGCCTGTACCGCGGATTTTCGTGTCTCGCATTACAGTACACAAACTCGGACAACCGTCTCCCCTTACCGTGTGGAAAATGTGCCGTGTCAACATTTTCGGGAGGGGGTGTGGTAACGTTTTTTGTGTACAGTCGTAGGCCCACTATAAGGCGGGCATGCGCCAGACCGATTTCACCCGCCCTATAGCAGGCACCCGCACTATTCCATATGTGTTAACCGTTAACCGTCTTGAATATTCCATCTGTGCCAGCCAATTTCACCCGCCCTGTAGCGGCCACCCCCCTTGTATATCCCGCCTTATAGAGGGCCTACGACTGTATGACCAGTGATGGGGTGTTTTATCACCCGGGGCTTCGATGCTCTACGTGCCCGCGGCAGCAGCAAAGGCTCCTAACAACAACAACAACTCACGACAACAATAACCGAACCCCTCCACCCCCATGCAAAAAAAAAGCACGCACACACACACACAGTGTTTTGTGTTTTCAACCGCACTGAGACTGACGTCTTTTCATTGGTCAGCCGGTTAGCGCGGTCGGTGCTCATGTTAAAAACTCGCACGACACTCCCCAACTCCAGGCCTACCGTCGGGCGGCCGAGGCTCTCGACGAGAGGGCCGCCCCCACCGCCGACCGGCTAGAGCCCCTGCGAACACGCCTCCGCGCACTGTACGAGAAGTGCATGTGCAACGCGGCGGTGGCGGGTTTCAAGGCTGCGGCGGCGACGCCCGCGCCCGGGGAGGCTCACAGCCTGGTGGTGGACACGTGCTCCAAGGCGCTGGCACGGTGCGGGGGGAGGTGCCCGAAGGTACTGCGGTGATGGTATGGTGTGTGACGGTGTTGTGGTGTGATGGTATTGTGGTATGTGGGG